ACCCATACACATGAGAAGAGTATTCAAATGCAAAAAGATTTTTAAAAACTAACTTTCAGTCATGCAGCAATCATGCCTGTATGGTTCTGGATACTGGAGACTGAAGTTTAGTAGAGTTTATTTTTTCTCTCAACCTTGAATTTTAGCACATATAGTTCTATATTTGCGGACTTGTCATATAATAATTAACAATAAGTAAGCCTGGTATCCCAGGCACTGTGTGAAGGGCTTCATATGCATTTTTCCAGTTAATCTGAACAGTTTTCTAAGAGAGTTGATGGTATCACTCCATTTAAAGTTGGAGAAACTGAGACTCAGAGAGGCGAGAAGACTGGTCAAAGTTTCAGAGATCATAGGTGATGGAGTTGAGTTTGTGACCCAGGTCTCGCTGACTCCAAAGCTAATAATCTTAACCATTATGTTTTCATAATATTCAGGAAGTCGGGTGGATTTAGAAGATTCCACACTGACATCTTGAAGTGTTCCAACTCACCAACCCCCAGTAGGAAAAGCAAGTGATTCCATGGCTCAGGAATTCATACTTAGGCAATGACAACATGTTGAGCAAGGCTCCAGCCTGATATTTATTCTACAGCCTCTTATAAATCATGAAGACTTAAGAAAAAGGCTGGGCTTTGTGCAGTCAGCTTCGAAAAAGAACATAGAGGCCAGAGTTTCATCATGAGGTCTGTGACTTGCCACCTAATTTGCCATCACTTGAGCAGTTGAGTAAGACAGGCCATCAGAGAAGACGTTGAGGTGGAGAATGCGGGACCCACATGCACGCAAGCAGGCATGCTCTTCCCTGCCTCCTCTTCCCTTTGTGACTTCTTATGTAGTGCTGTGGGAAAACACTCAAGTCCTGAGGTTCCATTGACTATGGAGACTAAGATATTTGAACTAACTCTTGCTAAGAAACTGTAATTAAGAACATGGACTCCGACATAATTGTCTTTGTGAATTTCATTGTGTTGTTTTTTATTTTTTCTAAGTGAAATTGCTTCAGAAAATTGGAGAGTCATCTTACTTTCCATGTGGAGAATTTATTAGCTATGAAAATAATTCATCAAGTTATGGGTAGAAACATGTTGTTAACCTTGAAGGAAAATTAAAATCAGAGTTACAAAATCTTCCATTTGCAGAGTGTTCCATCATTCAAAGCCATGGTCGCATCTACTTCCTCTTTGTGGTCCTCACAAGAGCCTTTGAAACTTGGCAGGGCCACCAGTTTGAGCCCCTTTTATATTTACTCACTTATTCATTCATCAACTATTTGTTGCATGCCTATTTTTGTGCCAGGCACTGGTGATGCACTGGTGAACCAGTCGGCAGGTGTTTTTTGTTTGATTTGTTTTGTTTTGTTTTGTTTGCCCTCCCTGAAGCTTGTATTTTGCCAGGGGTAGCAGACAATAAAACAATGAGTACATAATAAACAAGTAAATGAGAGAAAAGTAACTGAAGAGTCCTAAGTGCTATTCAGATAATTCAAATAGGTGGCTGTGGGATGGACAGCTATTTTAGATTACATGACCGTCGAAGGCAGCTCTGAGCAAGGGACGTTTTAACCTGAGACCTGAGTGACATGAGCTATCTCCGTACAGACTGCAGAAAAATATTCTTCATAGATAAAAAAATTGAGACCCAAATAGATTCAGTTACTCAAAGACCATACAGATGGTTAGGCCATAATGGACTTGAACTTCAACCTTAAGTTTCTGAGTCCAAGACCAGTGGCATTTCTATTCACTATTTACTTCAAGAGTAGATGTGGAAGAATATATAAATAATGCTAAACATTGCTTTTGCACACTGGGAGAGCTAGGTTAGGTTTTACCAATGGTAATTTTGATAATTCAGTATTCACATGTTGATTTTTCAATTATTTCTAAATGAATAAGAAAATCGTAGTTTGAACTTTTAAAAAATATGTAGAGCTAATCTTGTAACAGTGAGATAAATCTAATAGAGCTGACTCCTTCTTGCATGTAACCTCACAAGCTAACTGCCTTTGCCCATTTTTGCATGTAGGCCAAGCTAACTATGGGAGGAATTTAGTTTCCAGTTGAACTTTATTTTATTTATTTATTTATTTTTGAGACAGGGTCTCACTCTGTCTCCCAGGCCGGAGCGTAGTGACACAAACATGACTCACTGCAGCCTCAACCTCCCAGATTCAAATGATTCTCCCACCCCAGCCTCCCAAGTAGCTGGGATTACAGGCACACACCACCATGCCTGGCTAATTGTTTAACTGTTTTTATAGAGATAGGGTCTCGCTTTGTTACCCAGGCCTGTCTCAAAATTCTGGGTTCAAGCCATCCTCCTGCCCCGGCCTCCTGAATTGGTGGGATTACAGGCCTGAACAACCACATCCAGCCTATAGTTTCATTTTAAATCAAAGATGATAACTGTGCCTTCCCCAAAGTAACCCTCGAGAAGATAAGGAGGGCATATGCACAAGTAACAATGTTATGTGGAAGATCCATAAGAGCATTGCTACCTGACCAAGGACAAAGAAGTTTTGCAACCTCCTTGGACTTCTGCTGATGCTCAGATGTCTGTGGCCACCAGCCACCTCCTTGTTCCCTCTTCCCCAGTGTAAAATGAAGCTTGAGATTCATGCCTTCTAAGATGGTTGTTTAGGACACTGTTCCGCTAGCTGTCTCTGAAATAAAGTCGCCTTCCAACACCTTGTCTTTCAACGTATTGGCTGTCATGTGGTGAGCAGTGTGAGCTTTGGACTCCACTACAATCTCAACTCCTGCATGAATGATTTCTAGTCAAAATGGGTGATATTCTGGTCAAAAAGAATTTTTACCAAGATAATTAAAAGAATTTGTTTCTCTCTCTTGCTTTCTGTACCTTCCTTTCTCTCCCTGCTTCATGTATCTGAGTATCTTTCCTTTCTAGGCAGTACAGGAACACTGCGAAACAGGCTTAATTGCTGTTAGGAATTTCTTAGGAAGTACTAGGATTTATCATTTCTAGCTCTCTCTCCACTAGTAGCATGCTGGATGACTCAAAGTATTTGGAATTCTCTTTTTTGCAAATATTTTAACAGGATTACAAAGGAAGCCCTTTTGGTGGAATAATGTCATTAGTATAGCTTGAAAAAATACCTTAGAGTTCATGGACATGGATGATTAAGGGGTCTTGTAAGAGAAATGTTGATAAAAATACTTTCCAGAATGAATTAAATAAAACCCATGAAGGAATATATATATACACATACACACACACACACACACATATTTTAGAACTAGCATTCTTAGAGGCTTTTTTTTATTCTTTGTAGGAAAAGAGCCAATTAATGTGTGTACATTTCACAAAATCATTTGGTAGGGAACTTGAAACTGGGACAGATGCAAAAATGTCATGCCAAAAAAAAAAAGGAAAAACACCCCAGCTAAATGATGATCAGAATGGACCAAAAATTGTTTAATTCATTTTTATTGATGTATAATTCATATATCATACCAAATAACCATTTTAAAGTGTATTCTTCAGTAGTTTTTAGTACATTCAACAGGTTGTACAACCATCATTATTATTTAATTCTAGAACATTGTTACCATCCACTCCCAAAATCTCTTACCCCTGAACAATCTCCCCATTTTCTCTTTTCTTCAGCCCCCGGCAACTACTCATCTATTTTCTTTCTAAGTGGATTGGTCTATTCTGGACATTTCCTATACATAGAATCATTCAATATGTGGTCTTTTACGTCTGTCATCTTTCACTTAGAATAATATTTTCAATATTCATCCCTGTTGTAGCATGTAACAACTTCATCCCTTTTATGGGTAAGTAACATTCCATTATAATGATATATCACATTTGCTTATCTACTCATCAGCTTATGAGTTCTTTTTAGTTTTTAACTACGAAATATAAAGCTGCTATGAACATTAGTGTACAATTTTTTCGTGTGAGTTTGTTGTTTCATTTCTCTTGGGTATACACCTAGGAGTGGAATGGTTGGATCATTTGGTAACTCTCTGTTTAGCTTTTTATAAAGCTGACAAATGGTTTTGCATAGCAGCTGCACCATTTCACATTCTCACTAATGAGGATTCCAAAATTTCTCCACATCCTCACCAACACTTAATATTTTCTGTTTTGGTTTGTTTTTAATTATAGCATCCTTATGGATATGAAGTGCTAGCTCATTGTGGTTTTGATTGGCATTTCCCCAGGGACTAATGATGCTGCACCTCTTTTCACATGCTTATTGGTTATTTATATATTTTCTTTGGAGAAATGTCTATATGAGTCTTTCACCTATTTTTAAATTGGTTTTTATGCTTTATTTTTCAATTATAACAGTTATTTATATATTCTAGGTAATAGACACATCAGTTGTATGTTTTGCAAATATTTCCCTAATTCCATGGGTGTTTAGTTTGTTATAGATCATATACAACTATGGATCTGGACAGTCAGAGCAATATATCCATAGTATTTCTGTTTGCACATCACTCCTTCACCGCTCTTTATCTGAAAACAGCACTCTCCTCTTCTCCTCTGTCTATGAGTTTCTAGCTAATCCTCTTTCATTTCCCTCCCAGTTTCCTATCTCCACATGTCCAAGATGGGCATGCAACCCACATTAGACCAAGTTGAAACTCCTCACCAGAATTTCTCACACTGTTTGCCAGTGAAAGACCTTTTGTTCTCTCTTCTGGCAAACCTGTAAGTTTGTAACAACCGAACTGCTTACATATGTTCTCCTCATGGTGAAAAGTCCTTTAGCAGTAGGAGAGAACGAAATTCACAAGCAGAGAAGCAGAGCAGAAAGGGACAGAGAGTGGCTGTGTCAAGATCCCTGTTCCATTTTCCCCCAGCTATACCCCTGCCCTTCTTTGTGATGTGAGCAAATAAAGTCGTTTTTAGGCTTGATTGAGTTGGAGTTAGGTTTCTGCCACTTGAAATTGAAAGCTTCCTGACTAATGCAGTTAGCATATGGCTTCTCAAAGACTTCACTGGCAAGTCTTGTGATACTTTTGTATTACAAGGATTTGTAATACTTAGTCCGTGGGAAGAAATGAAACAGTAATATAACAACTGAATCAAATTTGGAAAAATATAGACTAATACTCCTTGGGAAACCGGATAAAAATGGTTGAGTTTATGGGAAAGAGACTTGTAGGGAAAAAGAGTCATTCCAAAGTGAGTTGCAATGAATGGAAGATGACAATGAATCACACCATATGAATCGATGATATGAAATGGCACGTAGAATGGCCTTTGAGGTATGGAATAATAACAGTCAAAGGTACTGTGAGTCAGAAGCCGTTCATGTGAAACACACTTTGCAGAGCCCACCATGGAGACTAACTGTCAGACCAGCTGGCACGCAACACATGGGGATGTAACAGGCTTTTCTCTATTTCCCTTCTGTGTCATCTCTCTGTACCTTTCTGTTCTTCCATCCTCTCCTAACAGTCTATTTTTGGCCCTTGTAGACCGTGTAAATATTAGGAATCTCTGTAGGAAGTTTTGGAATTTTAAACAACCAAAACAAAATCTTTTATAAATTACACAGACAGCAAATTCTGCCTTGGTACTAGTTTCCATGCTATGACCTGAGGAGCATTCCTGAACTATAGCTTTGCTGTCTCTTACAATTCCTTATGTTTCCTCCTTGAGGGTAAAGTTCAGGTGTAGGGAGGATCTTGATCAATGGGCTATTACATAGGTAAGTAAATCAAAAGAACGGGGAAGAGAAAAATGTAAAACCACTAGCAGTTAAGCTGTTATATTTTAACTTGCAAATGACTTAAGGAAAGATTCTAGGGCCTGAATAAACTAAAATAAATCTTATGCAAGTGTTAAGTATTCTTGTAGTGCTCTTTGCATAATCTGTGCTTCTAGGATGACCTTCATTTCAATCTGGGAGGAATTCTTCATCATCTCTCCTTGATGAAAAGTGTTGAATATCAACGTCTCTGGAATGGAATTACTTCTTGAGAAAAGGCCAGATGGACCAGATCTATATTGCTTTCATGGTGTATTAGTTATCTACTGCCTGTGAGAAATTATCCCATAAGTAAGTGGCTTAGCACATCAGGCTTTTATTATCTCAGTTTCTGTGGATCATGAACTTGGGTGTGGTTGCGCTGGGTGGTTCTGGCTCTAGGTTTCTCATGCAATTGCAATCAAGGTGTCTTCCAGGGCTGCAGTCATCTGGAGATGTGAATGCAGCTGGACGGTACACTTCCAGGCTCAGTCATGTGGCAGTTGTCAGGAGGCCTCAGTTTCTCCTACGAGACTCTCCATAGGTCAGCTGGAGCATCTTCCAATACAGCAGCTGCTTCCCCCAGAGTGAATGACGCAAGAGACAGAGCGAAATAAAAGCCAAAATACCTTTTATGATCTGTCATCTGGAGTCACACTGCTTTATTTCTGTCACGCTTCAGTGTCAGCACGAGCCCACATTTAAGGCAGGAGAAAAATCAAAGAATTTGTGGAAGCAACTTAAAACAGCACAGATAGTAAATATTAAAGGTAGTTAAAATGTAAATTCAAAGAAAAAATATCAATTTAATAGAATAAAATTATAATTTTTATTAAAAAATAAAAATTTAAATTTAAAATATTACTTTAATAGAATTAAAGCATAGAAAGAAAACAGCTTTAATTAGCAGTAGAATAAGCCATCCAATGGAAATTAGAGTGAAAAATCGTATCTTTGATTATTTGAAGACAGTGCGAGATGGCAGATTTTTCATGAGCTATCTTCACAGCTGCTTCCCCCGTCACTTAAAAAATTATTTTATTGAAGTAATATATACACATGCTTAAAATCATTAAGTGGTGCTAAACTCTGATAATAGTGTATTTTGCTCCAAGCCTCCTCGGCCAATAGTCCTACACTCCAGAGGTAAACACTTTAATTCCTTTGTTGATTCTTTATATGTTAACTGTTTATCTCCACATATGTCTCTACTATTATTTCTTGGTTTACCAATTTGAGATATTTTGTATTAACTAACTGTTACTCTTACCAGAAAGAGATCCTGACCCAGACTTCAAGAGAGGGCTCTTGGAACTCATGCGAGAAAGAATTCAGGGCAAATGCCTAGAGTAAAGTGAAAGCAAGTTTATTAGGAAAGGAATGGAATAAAGAATGACTGCTCCAGAGGCAGAGCAGGGACATGGGTTGCTCAACTGAGTATACTTATAGTTATTTCTTGATTATATGCTAAACAAGAGGTGGATTATTCATGACTTATCTAGGAAAGGGGCAACGATTTCCTGGAACTGAGGGTTCCTCACTGTTGCGGGAAGTCAGGGACCCCAAACGGAGGGACTGGCTGGAGTTGCAGCAGAGGAACATAAATTGTGAAGATTTCATGGGCATTTATCAGTACCCAAATAATACTTTTATAATTTCTTATGCTTATCTTTACTTTAATCTCTTAATCTTGTTATCTTCGTAAGCTGAGGATGCACGTCACCTCAGGACCACCATGATAATTGTGTTAACTGTACAAATTGATTGTAAAACATGTGTGTTTAAACAATATGAAATCAGTGCACCTTGAAAAACAACAGAATAACAGCAATTTTTAGGGAACAAGGGAAGACAACCATAAGGTTTGACTGCCTGTGGGGTCAGGCAAAAAGAGTCATATTTTTCTTCTTGCAGTGAGCCTATAAATGGACGTGCGAGTAGGAGAGATATCACTAAATTCTTTTCCTAGCAAGGAATGTTAATATTAATACCCTGGGAAAGGAATGCATTCCTGGGGAGAGGTCTATCCACTCTGGAAATGTCTGTCTTATGCGGTTGAGATAAGGACTGAGATACACCCTGGTCTCCTGCAGCACCCTCAGGCTTACTAGGGTGGGGAAAAACTCCACCCCAGTAAATTTGTGGTCAGACCGGTTCTCTACTCTCGAACCCTGTTTTCTGTTAAGATGTTTATCAAGACAATATGTGCACCACTGAACATAGACCTTTATCAGTAGTTTTGCTTTTGCCCTTTGCCTTGTGATCTTTGTTAGACCCTTACTAGTAGTTCTGCTTTTTGGCCTTTGAAGCATGTGATCTTTGTACCTACTCTCTGTTCTTACACCCCTCCCCTTTTGAAACCCTTAATAAAAACTTGCTGGTCTGAGACTCAGGCAGGCATCACGGTCCTACCAATATGTAATGTCACCCCTGGCAGCCAAACTGTAAATTTCCTCTCTTTGTACTGTCTCTCTTTATTTCTCAGCTGGCTGACACTTATGGAAAACAGAAAGAACCTACGTTGAAATATTGGGGGTAGATTCCACCAATACTCCCCTTTCTAGACTACACAGGAGAACTTCCAGATGTTGTCATGGCATTGACAAACTGTCAGGGTGCTGGTGGGAGTGTCTTTTCGTGTGCTAATGCATTATAATTAACACATAAGGAACAGTGAGGACAACCAGAGGTCACTGTCATTACCATTTTGGTTTTGGTGGGTTTTGGCCAGCTCCTTTACTGGGTTCCATTTTATCAGCAAGGACTTTTTGACCTGTATCTTGAGCCGACCTCCAATCTCATCCTGTGACTGAGAACACCTAACCTCTTGGGAATGCAGCCCAGTAGGTTTCAGCCTTATTTCACCTAGCCCCTATTCAAGATGGAGTCACACCGGTTCAAACACCTCTGACATTATCATAGATGAAGATTTAGCTCTCTTACATGTCACCTACATGATTTCTCATTTTTCCCATGTATTATAGAGACCTTTTTACCAACATAATCATGACTGGTAGTTGATTCTTTATGTGAAAATAGTGAGTTAAAGCAGGTAATCATAAGAATTACATATAAAATTACTGATTATTTTATCATAACAGAAAGCATATAATCCTTTGAAGCAGGGCCAAGGACTTCTTCTTGAGTATGGGCCTTGCAAAAACCAAATGCAGAGCACATCTTTAGGGATGGGGTTGCAGTTTTGGTCTCTTTAAAGTAGTGCAAGAAATTAAAAACATTTGCAAAGCAAACTGAGAACAGAATACTTCCAGAGTTTGGATTATTCTCTTTAGTCGTTACTAGTTATCTCTCTAATTTTTAACAATATTTTTAGTGATTTGTCATTATGAAAGCTTTCAACTTAGCTTCCTTACAAAGAACTCTTTGTCTCACCCTAATTTCATTAGTTTTTATAATATAAAAGAAAATCAAATTATTACTGTAACAAATACAACTGAAATAAATGGGTTTGCAAACAAAAATCCACATAATTTTGGGAAGCATGGAGCTCACGAGTGAGCACCAAGTACACGGCGTTAGATTGGGCTCCCACCCCGTTCCTGCTGTCACAGTGGACATTTATTGAGTACTGACTGTATGCCAGGATCTGCCTTCAGTGCTCAGACATATTAATGTATTTTAAGGTCTTAATAGTCCTATCTCATAAGTCCTGTTATTATTCCTCTCAGAAAAATAATGTGAAATTTGAAAATAACCAAAAGGGACTCCTGGGTGTTCTTTCAGTACACCACTGGGATTTGACTTTCTGTTGACTGGGCTATTTTACAACCATGTAGAGGAAGAGGCTAATTTATATATTTTTGTGTGGCAGAGATGCAAATAGTTTAAGTGTGAAAGAAGAAATAACCCCAAAGGGTATGATTTATGACTGTGTTGGATATTATCAGTTTTGCGTTTGACCCAGAAATCCTATTGTAATTATTAAATCATATGTATCTTCTCAAATGCTCTTTGAACTAGGTTAACATCTTACTGATTTACTCAATTAATGACCTGAATACAATTTTTGACACATGTTCATTTAACGTTTCTTAGAGAATCATGATTTTGTCTTCTTGGAAAATAAACTTTTAGCATCTCATTTTACAGATGAAGATAATAAAGTGAAGAGAGGTTGATGGTTGCCCAAGGAAGTGCAGTGGTAGAAAATGGTATGCTAGGGGCTTGCATTCAGTGTACATGGGAATCCGTCAATGTAATTTGCAAATGAAACCAAGAGTGCCCATTAATCTGGCAAGTCAGTTATATTGAAGAGAACATCTATTGTAGTTAAATTATTGTTTTTAGTTAAATTCAGTGTGAATTTCATCGAAATCAGTAATATAAATGGTATTTATATTAATACAACTATGAAAATATTACTTGTTCCAGATTGAATTATGTTTTCTTTAATATACAGATTTGTTACCCTTCTTGATATTTCTTTTTTCCACATCATTGTTTCCTTTTATTATATGATTTTATGACTAAATATTTTCAGCAACTATTCAGTGCCAGATAGGTGATAGGAATACCTCAGTAAGCAAAATAAGCAAAACCCCTGACTTTGTGGAACTTATACACTAGTGGGAGGAATGCAGACAATAGTCATAACAACTAAGTAAATTGCACAGTTTACTCCAAAGTAAAAGTACTTTTGGTCAGAGCAGGGTAAGAGGCATGCTAGGATGGAGGGAATGCAATTTTGAATAGCATGGTCACTGAATGCCTCATTGGTAATGCACATTCTGAATATAGACCTGAAAGAAGAAAGAAAGCTATGTTGATTAAAAGGCGAAGAATCATCCAGGAGGAGCCAATGTGAGGGCTTTGCCTGGTCTGGTGTGGCCAAGGAATGCCAAGAAGGCCATTGTGGCTGGAGCAGGAGACTCAGTAAAGAAGAGAGAATGAGGAGGTGAGTTCAGAGAAGTAATTAGGGGCCACGATATGTTAGGCCTTTGTGGTAAATGAGATTCTTAATCCCATCCTGCATCCATCCCTTTGTAATGTGAGTTTGCAGACCTTTCAGCTGGAAGTAAAGGGCATGTCTCTGATCCAGGAGACTGAGCTCAGCTATGTGACTTGCTTAGGCCAATGAGATGACAGTGCACCAGTTCAAGCCTGGCCTTGAGAGACATCCTATATTTCTGCTTGCTGTCCTGTGCTTTTGTCATCACTGTGAGGAGAACTTTCCCTGACTTCTGCTGACCCTTCAGACTTGTCATCAGAAAGTCATTTATAGTAGACCTAAGCCTAACCCACAGCTAAGAGCCAAGTCCAACCACAACTGCAGCTTAGAGGAGAGCCATCCGAGGTCAGACTAGATGAGCCAATCCATAGTCAATCTGAAAACTCATAAGCAAGTCAATAATACTCATTATTATAAGGTACCATAAAGGGGTTTGTTATATAGCATTGTTGGGTATTTTGATGTTAGACCCAAAAGATTTGTTATTGGTCTGAGTGAGGATGCGAGACAAGAAGAGGAGTTATGGGTGATACTAAAACTTGGCCTGAAAAACCAGAAGTGATGAAGTTGCCATTAACTGTGATGAAAAGACTGAAAATCAAGGAGATCCAGTGTCAGGAAGATCAGATGATCAACTCTAGACATATTAAGAAAACTTTGGGAAGTTGTGCTTTTCTTAATAGTGGAATAAATAATTCAAATCAACCCCGTTACTTAAGACATATTTAAAGCTTGACAAAATATTAATAAAACATGCTTGAAGGTGCCAGAGGGCAAATAAGATCATGAAGAAATACTGGGCTATGATATGAAGGAGAATATAGGCTCAAGACTTGGAAGCTCCTTTTTCCTGGGGAATATGTGCTTATCTCACAATGGGCAGCTGGGAAGTTAAGAAATTCTGAGAGCCTCTCAGAGTTAGTGGGACAAGGATTGAAATCCAGGAACCAAAGAGAAACAGTGAGTAAAACTTCTCACTTGGGTTGAGACCATAGAAACTTGCACAGCAGGACTAAGAGTAAACTGTGGGTACTCTGGTCTTTGCATAGGTTGACTTAATCTTACCTTAATCTCTGAAATTTGAATGAGGTGATTCTGATAGAAACAAATGTAAATCCTTTCCAATGGAAGATCATATCATTCTAGATCTGAATTTATATTTTGAAATAATTTGCTAATACAATGTGTGATATATGGTAAAAAATAACTAGGAACAAAAAGAAAGAAGGTAGCGTGAACAAAGCTCAGCAGAAATAATAAATAACAGAAACAGACACATAGAGGATGACAATGCCAAAGTTACCAAAAACCAAATTTTTGAAACTATGCTTCTGATGAAATTCTTGGTTATTTATTTATTTATTTATTTATTTATTTTTGCAGAGAACTGGAAAACACAAAAATTACTGAATGGGAAATCTGTGACTGGAAATTTCATGAACTGAAATTTGGAATTCAGTGGATAGCACTTTACACACAGCTGAATAGAGAATTTGTGAATTGGAAGATAGGTAAGACAAAAACTTTCAGAAAGAAGTACTGAAAGAATAAAAGGATGGAAGGTACAAGATAAAAGTTATGAAAATTTCAGTGAGAAAGTCTTACATATAAGCAGCTGAAGTATAGCAGAAGAGGGAAAATCATTTGCAGAAGAAATATTTTGATAAAGGTGAGGAATAGTCCCAAACCAATGAAAGGCTGGTAATACACTCATATCAATTATATAGCCTTTTCAGCCTGGTTTCTTTCATTCAGCATAATGCTTTTGAGATTCATCTATATTCTTTCATGCATCAGTAGTTCATTTCTTTTTAATGCCAAATAGTATTCCATTGTATGAGTGTACCACAGATTGTTAGTGCATTCACCAGTTGATGGGTGTCTTGTCCATTAGGGCTGCTATAACAAACTACAATGATCTGGGTAACTTATAAAGAGCAGAAATTTATTTCTCACAGTTCTGGAAGCTGAGATGTCCAAGAGGGCCTGCTTTTTGATACAAGATCGCTGTCTTCTCACTGTGTCTTCACATGGCAGAAGGGGCAAGAAAGCTCTCTGGAGTCCTTTTTATCAGGGAATAACCCCACTCATGAGGGTTCTTCTCTCATGACCTAATGACCTTCCAAAGGCCCCACCTGCAATAGCATTACATTGGAGATTGAGTTGCAATGTCTTAATTTTGGAGGGATACAAACATTCAGTCTGCAACAATGGACTTTTGTGTTAGTTTCAGTTTTTGGTGACTTAAAGTGTTTATAAACAATTACGTATAGACTTTTGTGTGAACATATGTTTTCATTTCTTTCAAGTAAATGCCTACGTGTGAGATTGCTAGATCATATGCTACATGGATATTTACCTTTATAAGAAGCTACCAAACTGTTGTCAAAGGGACTGTAACATTGTGTATTTCCATCAGTAATCCATGAAAATTTATGTTGTTCTGCATCTTTGCCAACAGTTGATGCTACGATCTCAATATTCGTGTCCCACCAAATTCGTATGTTGAAATCCTAACTTATAAGATAATGGTATTAGGACTTGGGGCCTTTGATCCTGATTAGGTCATGAGGGCAGAATCCTCATGAATGAAATTAGTGCCTTTATAAAAGAGGCCACATGAAGCTCAGTCACTGTTTTTATCATGTGAGGACACAGCTAGAAGGTGCTACATGTGAACCAGAAAGTGGGACCTCACCAGACACCAAAACTGCTGGTGTCTTGATTTTGGACTTCCCAGCCTCTGGAACTATGAGAAATAAGTTTATGTTGTTTATAAGGCACCTAATTTGTTATGGCAGCCTAAATGGACTAAGACAGTGTGTTTTCAGATTGACTAATTTATATTTCAACCATTCTAATAGGTTTATAGTGGTATCTCATTGTAGTTTTAATGATTAATGATGTTGAGCCTGTTTGCTTGTGCTTATTTTATACCCATCTCTCTTCTTTGCTGAAATAGTTGCTCAAATTTTTCTTTCATTTTTAAAAATTAGGTTTTTAAAACATTCTTGTTATTGAGCTGCGAGAGTTGTTTTTCAGATCTGTGTTTTATAAATATTTTCTGTCTATGGCTTGCTTGTATCAGTCGCTATTGCTGCAAAACAAAACCCTGCAAAAATCTTAGTAGTATACAACAGTAGCATGTGTTTTTTTGTGTGTCTGTGATTGGGCTGAGGTTTGACTGATCTGGGCTGGGGTTGTTTACATGTCTCTAGTTCTAGGTGGGTTCTGTGTTTTCTCTACATGCATCCTGAAGCAGTATGCTAACTTGTGTGTAAAACAGCAAGCAGAAACACATAAATCCTCTTGGGTGAAATGGCGAGTGATTACTAATGGGTATGGTTTTAAATTTTGAGATTATGAATACTTTCTAAAAGTAGTTGTAGTGATAAATGCACAACTCTGAAGAAACTAAAAATAATTCAGTTGTACAATTTAAATTAGTCAATTGTATGTCATATAAATATATCTCTATAATGTTGTTTAGGGAGGAAAAAAGCAAAGAAAAAGTCACATTGTAATGATGCTTTTGCCTCCCTGAAAGTGTCTTGGGTCAAGATGAATATTTATTCAAGTTTTTTCTCTTTAAGGAACTGTAGATTCTGTCTTCTTTTTTTCCCAAGAAAATAACACTTTGAAAGCATTTAAAAGGAAAGAAAGACAGATAAACAGGTGTGAAGTTTCTTAAGGCCTATATTCAGAACTGGTGCATTGCTCCTTCTATAGACATTCTATTGGCCAAAACCTATCATATGGACAAGCCCAAAGTCGGTGGACCAGGTAGTATACCACTTAGTGAGAGTGACTAGCAAAAACCACGGCTACAGGAAGGGGTAAGAAAATGAAAGTGATCATTCAATCTATTATGTATAGCATGTTCTTGAATAATTTGCTTCATTTAGTATCATTTGCCCATAACATTGATGAGAAAAAAAGTTGATTCCCAGCTGGGGCCACTGTATGTGTGGAGGTTGCGTGTTCTACTGATGTGTACTTGGGAGTTCTCCTGGTGCACTTGAGGTCCATGGGCATGGCTATGTGGTCCCAGTCTGAGTAAGGGTGGTCAGGTGTGAGAGGCCCTGTGATGGGATGGCGTCCTGCACAGGGCTGGGTCTGCCTTGTGCTCTGAACTGCCACAGAGGCTGAGGCCATCGGTGACCCTGAACTCAAATAAGCGGGTTGAAAAATGAATGAATGAGTACAAATTACTGTCAAATACAAATTCATAGTCTATGATAGTTGTACAAATGCACAACAATAAATAATGCTGTAGAAAGCTCTCAGCGAGCCTGCCCTATTTGTGATTGTTTGAACTACGTGTTTATAGGAGGTGCTCTTTACAATTTTCACATCGTAAATATTTATTTCTTGATTTAGCCCACCACTACTAACACTGTCCCTCAGTGATTCACCAAAAATTGAGTAATTATTTTATTTGTTTTTATTAATCTTTCTTAAATGTATATACAACTCACATTTATCCCAATGTTTGCTATTAGAAGTGTTTGGGGTCTTTGTTTAGAAGTTTGATGATGTTTTTGTGACCAGAAATATGCCAGAGGAATTTGTATCAATTAGCCTGTGGCAGAATTCATTTTGTTAGAGTCCTTTTGCTTAAAGTTGCAGTTTCCAAGAACCTATCTGTGTCAAGTGAGGATTCACTGTATATGTTTAGATATTAACATTTTAAAGAAAAGCAAAGAAGTGAGTGTCAAAAATCAGGACAGTGATACCTTAAGGGTGAATGACAGGCAGTGTTTGGGAGGGGAGGATACTGAGGGGTCGTGGGGAGTGCCTTCTCTTACAGGCTATGGGTTGTGGGGAGCCCCTTCTTTTACATGCTGTAGCCCTTTGTTTGTTGTTTTAGTGTCACAATTGTCACATCATCTTACATTTTTTATTAGCTTGTCTATTTATTTCTTTTTCAATTTCTCTCAGTTTCCATGTTTTAAAACCCCATTTCTTTCCACACTATCTCCTACTTATTATTTAGATTTTCTTATATACTGAGAAGTTCAATGACCTTTTAAAACAGTTTCCATGAAAACAAAAACCAAATGTTTCTTGGGACACTCCTTTAAAACCTAACCTACTACTGTCAAGTCATGGCATTTTTTTATTCTTTCTGAAATAATCTTTAAGGCCTGCTTTTCATTTAGAGAGTATCTATGATGCTCAACAGGATTTAATAAAGGATAAAGAAGTTATTATCAGCTATATTTTAGAATCTTAGGATTCAACTGGATAGATACCTTTTACACCTATGAAACAGTTAAGCAGTAATGCTTTGCAGAAAGACAGACAGAGATGGGGCAAGAACACTACATCCCCTCCAGCTCCTCCTTCAGAGCTTCTCAATCTTGGCTGCACTTGGAGAATTTTAAAAACAATGCTGACTCAGAGCCCCACCTGCAGAGACTCCAATGGGATTGATTTTGGGTGGAGAGTAGGCATCAGTATTGCTTCAGAGACCCAGGCATTCGAATGTACCTCCAGAATGGAAAACACCACTCTGGTTGTGCAATGTCCTTTAGTGGCTCCCAGAACTCAGCAACACCAACTTTTTTATTTTGCAAAATACAAATATTAAAACACCAGTGAAAACCCATCCTCTACTATCATCAATATACTATTAAAAATATATTTTACCACCCCAACATAGTAAGTATTTAATTAAGCAGTAAGGTAGTGGTCTTTACACAGAATAAATTGAGCTTTCAAAAAAATCCTCTTTAATTGCCATTGTATTATTTTCTCTCTCATTGCATTGCAAACAATTGCAAATTTTTTCATGAGTCATCACGAACCCCTAGAGGGTCATTTGAGAACTCTTGGAGCCAGGTATACTGATGGTTATTTTCCTGGATCAGAAGGCAGCAAGTGTTTGTTCCTTCCTCATCCAGCCCACTGAGTCCCTGAAAATGAGGCCATCTTTCTGTCGTTCCTTTTCTTTTCTAGTATCACAATCTTGCAAACACCTGGAAGTAGTAGAGAAACACACATTGATTTTGAGAGCACAATATCCTTTTGTAAAGTTTCAAAGATTAATTATGCCATCTATGACACCTCCTTTTGAAGAGATGGTACTTATACATTCCTGATTGACCCATTTTAGTGTGTTTTTTAAAAACATGGTAAATACCAACATATGTGTGGTTAGGTTCAAAAAACAGCTGAGGGTGAGTTCTCTTACTGTTTCTGTGCTCTCAACTTTCTGAATATTCCTTCCTGTGATGAACCTTGATATGATGACATAATCAGGAGACAATGAGTGGCCCTCTAAGATGAAATATCCAGATAGCTTCTTCGTTTCATCTTAGATAGAGATCCTGAGTCAGTGGGCAGCGTATGCCATTAAATTTTTTAAAAAAATCAGTACTTAAAAGGCAAATTCCTCAGAGAGAACATAAAAGAGAAACAAATATAGTTTGTTTGATCATCAGCTTCCGTCAAAGCTGGCGTCTCAAATTCCGAACATTGCATTGTTTCTTCCCCACTCTGTTTGCCA